TCGTATTATCAGTATTGCTATTCTGTTCAGTAAGGTCATTATTGTTTTTCTTATACGTATTACTATTATTACCCGTACGATGCTCCATCTTATTACGACAGAACATACGATTCATCCTCGTATTCTTATATTATGTGTAATATTCTTCTTCGTCGTATTAATATTCGCCGTGGTCTTCTTATGATGGGTAATATTCGTAGTGTTAGCATTCGTCTTCTGCGTATCATTAGTCGCAGTACAAGTGTTATCATTTGTTTTCGTCTAAGTCGTGTTAATTTCGTTTTCGTCTGATTCGTCTCATTAGCATCATGTGTATTAATAGCACCCGTCGTCCTATTATTCTTCGCATTAGTATTACCATGCTCTTGTGATTACGATTAACAAATTGTCTACGCATCACTATCATTATTATCGCTAGTATTACTACTAATATCAATATGCTTCGTCTTCGTCGTCGTCTTCTTCGTCTTCGTTTTCGTCTCCTTCTTATCCTCCTCCTTCTCCTCCTCCTCCTCCTGCGCTTCCTCCGCCTCCTCGTGCTCCTCCTCGTCCTCCCCCTCCTCTTCCTCCTCCTCCTCCTCCTCCTCTCCGCCTCCTCCCAGCTCATCCTCCTCCTCCTCGTCCTTCTCGTCCTCCCTCTCCTCCTCCTCCTCCTCCTCCTCCTGGCAGCGCCTGTGTCCTCCTCCTCCTCCTCGTCCTTCTCTTCCCCATCTTCCTTCTCCTCCACCCCGTGTCCAGATAAATTACTCCTTCCGTGGACGTGTCCGCAGGCTGGACCAAGCGTTGCGCCTGAGATCCAGAAGCTTGGAGTGTGCGACAACTCACGATGTGGCGGTCGCCTTAGCGCCGCGCAGATGCGTCTCAAATGTCTACACCATTTCAAAAACTCGTGGGGCTCAATTCCCAGGAATTGCATTATGGTACGATTTAAGACTGTCGGGGCACAACCATCGCATTGATTCGCAGTGTTACAGACCCAGGAATGGTTTCTGGTACGAGTCTAGATGTCAGGACGCAACAGTCACTTTCATTATCGGCGTTGAAGTCCCCGGCATGGTGTCTTGGCATGATTGAAGACTATTTGACGTTTGTCTTTTTCATGAGTCGATTCCAGTCATAAATATACATGCTTGTAGGGACCTATGGCACACTGAGACGGTGGCCGTTGGAGTCAGGGGCCTTCAAGACACTGGGCAGCGAAGGAGACGGGGCACGGCACTGAGTCCTCCTCGTGAGGGGCGAGACCCTCCTCAAACAACATGCACATCGCCGGTGATCGACATGCCACCGAGAGACGTGCGGGCGCCGGTCCTCCTCCTCCTGGGGCAGCTTCTCCAGCGGGTGTGCGCCGCACCCCGCGCCGCCGCCGGGTCCGGGCGGCCTGGGGGCGAGCGCCAGGGCCCGCCGCCACTCGCCCTCCTGGCGCCAGTGCGGTCGCCGTCGCCACAGCCGAGGACGAGGACGAGGACGAGGACGAGGACGAGGACGACGACGACGAGGACGACGACGACGACGACGACGACGACGACGGACGAAGATCTACTGCGGCAGGCTCGTGTCGAGGCGGCCCGGCTTTGGCTTCGGGCACTGCGTGGATCGTTCGGCCTTGAACGGTCGGCAAGTTTCGACCGCCAGACCGTTCCATAGCGGCCGATTCTGGGCCACCGGCAGCGTTCAACCTTGAACGCCCAAGCTGGGATCGCCGCCGCATCGACACGACACGTACTGTGGTTCGCCTGACTTCGCGCGTCGCGCCCGGCGATTCGCGACCCGCGCGACGCGCGGTCGTGTCCGATCCCTCGCGCCGCCGCCCTGGAGAAGAGCACCTCTCCAACTCAGGACGCGGCGCACGAAGCGCGGTGATCCTCGCGCAGCAGGGGTGCCTTAGGATCGACGACGACGATCGACGAGAGACAACGACCGAAGATCAGCGACAGCCATCGACGGACAGAGAGGATGAGGATGGACGGCGAAGCTCGAGGCTTATTCGAACGGTTTGGGTCATGCGGTCGGCGGGCGTCGTCGCCGTCATCGCCGCCGTCTTCGCCGCCGTCGCCCCCCTGTCATCCTCGCGTGGTGAAAAAAACACGACGAGAGGTGGGCCTACTGACCTGGGTCAAATCTAAACCAGGGTCAGTCGGGCTTGGTAGGATCCTGCAAGATCCTGCAGGATCATGCGCGCTAGCCCAGGTCACAGCAACCCTGGCTTTGCAGAATCCTGCAAGATCCGGAGCTCTGGTGAGCGTTTTCTTGTTCGGCGTTTCGACATTGAGCGAAGAGGGGGGGGGTCTGACTCTGGACCTCTGCTTAGTGCGACCCTTTGCGACAGTGCGTCCTATGAGGAGAGGCTCCACCCGCTCGAAACAGGTGCCCAAAACAGCCAAGATCTACTCCATGGGGGGGGTGCGGGGACCCGCGCCGATCGGCAAAACAACGAATGAGAAAACGATCACCTGGCGGACCCCCGTTTGCATTGACCTCCGTCTCAAGATTCCCGACCTCGGGGCCCTCGCTGGGCCCCTGGGCCGTCCGAAAGCGGCTCGGGACGAGAAGCCGGTTCCAAGGAAAGGGTCAGGACAACTGGGCGTCATCCCCTCGAGGTACGAGGCTCGACAATCGAGGGTCAAAGACAAGAGAGTCGAGGATCGAGGTGCGAGGGCTGAGGATCGAGGACCGAGGATCCCGAGGACTTCGAGGATCCCAAAGTTTGTCGAGGCTCGAGGATCGAAGAGGATCGAGGAGTTCGCGCGGCCGTCGTCGCCGTCGTCGCCGCAGGATCCGTCAGCACTGAATCGGAAAATCGGATCGCAGTGCGCGTCGCATCGGGCTGCATCCGCACCGGGGGGGTGCGCCGCCAGAATGTCCACATCCACATCCACTGCCGCGGGGTCGTGCCCCGAGGAATCGAGGAGCGATGGCCATGGCTTTCTGGCCGCCCGTGCGGGCGGGCAGATATCCATATCCACCACTCCTCGAGGTCCCAGGGCACGACTCCGAGGCGATTAATATGGCTGAAGGGGGGGGGCCCTGAGGCATCCTCCTGGTGCAAGAATCGCGACGGGAGAGCCTCGACCAGCGTCGGCCTCTCCCCAGCGGGTCCCCGGGACCGCAGGAAGAACAGCTCGGGGTGAAGAGCCGGTCCCCAGGAAGGGGTCCAGACCTCCCAGGAGCCGTTCGCCGCCGTCGTCCACTAGAGGTAGGAGGGTCGACCAGGGAGGGTCGAGGATCGAGGATCTCGACGTCCTTCGAGGATCGCGGCTCGAGGATCAAACGTAGTCGAAGAACTTGTCACTGTCCGGTCGTCGTCGCCGTCGTCGCCGCAGGATCAGTCAGCATCGAATCGGGAAATCAAATCGGAGTGGAATGTGGGAATGTGAGTCGGGAATGTGAGTCGGATCGGGCCGCATCGGCACATAATCGAAGGCGAACTAGATCTGCCACGCCAGGATGCAAGCATCAGGCCGCGTCGGATTGCCATCGAATCGGATCGATCAGGCTGGCCAGAATCGAGATGGACCCTGCGCTGTCGTTGTCGCCGTCGTCGTCGCCGTCCTCAGACGTCCGACGATGCGGTTGTTGTTCAATCAGCGGCTCGAGAGGTACTGTTGCTTTCCCCGTGGGCAGGTTTTCGCCCTTGGTCCGTTTCTGATGCTCCCGAGGCCCGAAGAAGACCCCAAGACACGACTGAATAACAAAAAAAAAAACAGCAACAGCAACAGCAGCAGCTGCAGCAGCAGCAACAACAACAACAAGAACAACAAGAACAAATCCACTGGATGTCTGGATCGCTCGGAGATTTAGGGCCCTCGGCCCTTTTGGGATCGAGCGTTCGGGGATCCATAGTTTTTGGCCCTCTGGGTCGTCTTGGGGCCGCAGGTGCGGGGGGGAGCCCTGGCGGCCACAGCCCGATCCACCTCGAGACTCTGGCAAGGAGGCACCTTCCTCCTCCTCCCCCTCCTCCTCCTTCTCCTCCTCCTCCGCCTCCTGCTCCTGCTCCTGCTCCTGCTCCTGCTCCTGCTCCTCCTCCTCCTCCTCCTCCTCCTCCTCCTCCTCCTCCTCCTCCTCCTGCTTCTCCTCCTCCTCCTTTTTATCCTTCCCCTCCTCCTCCTCCTCCTCCTCCTCCTCCTCCTCCAGTCCTTCTCCTTATAGATAATTAACTTCTCCCTGTCGCACCCCGAGGCCAGTTTTTAGGGCGGGCTGGGCGTTTCGCATGAGACTTCCTCACCATGTATGAGTCTGCAGCTAAAAAATGACAACATATTCACAGATGGAGGACGGGTGGTTTTAAAAATGTGGCTCTCACCTTCGCGCCGCGCACATTCGTTTTCAAAATTTCCAACAGGGAGGGTGGCTCTCAAAATGTGGCTCTCGCCTTAGCGCCGCGCACATTCGTTTTACATATTTGCAAGACTTTCGCGGGTTCCCATGATCAACGTAGAAGAAATGGCGTTTTGGAAGAATTCCGGATGATGCGGGTGCAAAGAATCTGTTGATTCGCTGTGCTGAAATCCCAAAAATGGTGATATGGCACGATCCAAGATCGTCACAACGCAGCAGTGCGGTTGATACGTGGAGTTGAACAATCTTGTTTGCATGCTTCAGGATCTTCAAACGGTTGTCTTCCAACAAGCAGTTCCCTCAATGGAAATGAACCATGGTAGAGGCCTATGAAGAGGAAGCTTGGAGGGAAGAATAATTCCAACATCGTTGATGACTCTTGGGTTTACACTGGTCCTCCTCCGCCTCGTCATCCTCCTCCTCCTTCTCCTCCTCCTCCTCCTCATCTTCACCATCACCATCACCATCATCATCATCATCATCATCAGCATCATCATCGGCATCATCATCCGCATCATCATCAGCATCAGCATCAGCATCAGCATCATCATCATCATCATCATCATCATCATCAGCAGCATCAGCATCAGCATCATCAGCGTCCTCGTCAGCATCATCACAACCATAATCAGAATCATCATAATAATAAGCGTCATCAGCATCAGCATCAACATAAGCAGCATTATCATCATGATCTATATCAGCATCAGCATCATCATCAACAGCAGCATCAGCATCATCAGCATCATCGTCGCCGTCGTCATATCACCATCATCATCATCAGCATCATCATCATCATGTGTCCTCCTCCTCCTCCTCCCCAACCTCCTCCTCCTCCTTCTGTCGCACCCCCAGACGTGTCCGAAGGGCGGGCTGGGCGTTTCGCCTGAGACTTTCTCGCCATTGGTGATCCTGGAGCTTGACAGTCGCAACAAGTTCACGGATGGAGGGCGGGCCGTTCCAAGATATTGCTCATGTGGCTCCAGACTCCTCGCCGCGCACAGCCGTTTTGAAAATTCACAAGACCTTCACGGATGCAGGGCGGCTCCTTTTCAAAATGTGGTTCTCGCCGGAGCGCCGCGCACATTCATCTTAGAAGTTCGCAACAGCTTCACGGATGGACGGCGGCTCCTTTTAAAAATGTGTCTCTCGCCTTACCGCCGCGCACATGAGAGTTCACACTCGTCTCAAGGATTCGTATGGCCAAAGTCCAAGGACTGGATTCTGGCACGATTTAGGATTGTCAGGACGCGACAGGTACACTGATGAGCTGTGCTGACATCCCAGGAACGATGTTCTGGCACCGTTTATGGTGTCAGCACGCAACAATCATGTTAATATGCGGCGTTGAAGTCGTAGATACTGCTATTGATACGATGGCGGATTCTCACACGATTCCCTTCTCGTGGACGACTCTACGCAATGATAATGATTGTTTTAGGGACCTGCGAAGAGGGAACTTGGAGGGAGGGTCGATTACAACATCGTTGATGACTCTTGAGTTTACACTAGTCCACCTCCTCCTCCTCATCCTCCTCAATCCCTTTCCTATGAATGACTCCTCCCTATCGCACCCCGAGGCGTGTCGGTAGGGGCGGCCGGGCGTTCCGCTTGAGGCAGCATCGCCATGTATTATCCTTCCGCTGAACATTTGCTAGAGCTTCACGGATGGAGGACGGCCCATTTTCAAAAGTTGGTTCTCGCATCAGCTCCGCGCACATTCGTTTTTTCAAAGCTTCCAACAGTTTCAAGGAGTCTTATGGTTAACGTCCTAGAAAAGTTTTTTGCCACGATGTCGGACATTCAGGGCGCAATAGTGACGGTGATTCGCGGTGTCCAAGTCCCACGAATGTTCTGGCACCATTCAGGATTTTCACACGGATGTCTTCCAACGGGGCACTTCTCCCCTTACTAAGGAAACGCAGAGGGAGGGTCTACTGTAAGATCGTTGATGAGTCTTGAGCTTACACTAGCCACTAGTCCTCATCTTCCTCCTCCTCCTCTTCCTCTTCCTCCTCCTCCTCCTCCTCCTAATCCTACCTGCTCCTCATTCGTTATTCGTTGCAGCGAAGCAAAAGCTTTCACAACCAAATGGCGCGAAGCGCCAAAGTAGGTGGGAACTTACGTACAAGCACTGCCATCATCAGGACATACATCTGCAATGCATCCGCGTTTCGGCAAGCCTGTGGCCAACTCAGGCTTGGGGTGTGCCAACGTGGTGTTTGAAATCCGATTGGTCACTGTGCCAAACCGGGCGACGGAGAAGGGGTCGGAGCAGGCGTCGGAGAAAAAGGGGGATCGCAAAACAGAAGACGTGGGCGTGGGATACGCAGCAACACATTCATAGCAGCTGGCGCCAGAGAAGGCGTTGGATAAACCTGACAAGCCGAAGAGTCAATGCACGCAGAAGCCACTGCCCAATGCAATTGTCGTCCATACTGTCTGGTCCTCAACCTCATCGTCCATCCTCATCCCCCTCATCCTCCTCCTCCTCCTCACCGTCATCATGATCCGTATCTTCCTCCTACTCCTCCTCATCCTCCTCATCCTTCTCATCCTCACCATTTTCATCGTTATCATCATCAGCAGCAGCATCATCAGCATAAACATCATAAATATCAGCATCATCATCATCATCACTGTCATCAATATGCTCATCATCATCATCACCGTCGTCATCAGCAGCATCATCATCTGCATCAACATCATCATCAGCATCAGCATCAGCAACAGCAGCATCAACATCATCATCATCAGCATCAGCATCAGCAGCATCATTATCATCATAATTATCATCAGCAGCATCATCATGATCATCATCAGCAGCACAGGCATCATCATCGCCAGCATCGTCGCCATCATCATCGATTCATCACCCTCCTCATCCTCCTCATCATCAGCAGCAGCATCATCACAATCATCACAAACAGCATCATAATCAAAATCAGCATCATCAGCATCATCATCATCAGCATCATCAGAATCGTCATCATCACCATCATCGTCATCATCATATTCATCATCATCAGCATCATCATTATCATCCTCATCCTCATCCCACCCTCATCATCCTCATCCTCATCCTCACCCTTCGCATCCTCCTCCTCCTACTTCTCCTCCTCCTTCTCCTCCATCTCCTCCTTGTCCTTCTCGTCCTCCTCATCCTCCTCCTCAATCCCTCCCTCCCTCCCTCCCTCCCTCCCTCCCTCCTCCCTCCTCCCTCTTCATTCCTTCCTCTCTCCGCCCTCCTCCCTCCTCCCTCCTCCCTTCTCCTCCTCCTCAATCCTACTCTTCCATCCTCTCCCTCCTCCTCCTCCTCCTGTTCCTCCTCCTCTTCCTCCTCGTCCTCCTCCTCCGCCTCCGCCTCCGCCTCCTCCTCCTCCTCCTCCTCCTCCACAGGGCAGGTGTACCTGGATAGAATTCAAAAGGGCCTCTGGCCAAAATATAAGTAGCCGAATTAAACCCGAGCCGACGGCTTGGGTGGTGGTTAGGTCATGTTACTTCGCTTCGCGATAGGTCCATTCCATTCCATTCCAATCCACTCCATTCCATTCCATTCCATTCCATTCCACTCCACTCCACTCCACTCCATTCCATTCCATGCCATGCCATTCCATTCCATTCCTCCTCCTCCTCCTCCTCCTCCTCCTCCTCCTCCTCCTCCTCCTCCTCCTCCTCCTCCTCCCCCTCCTCCTCCCTCCCTCCCTCCCTCCCTCCCTCCTCCTCCTGCAACGACGACGACGACGACCACCACCACCACCACCACCACCACCACCACCACGGCGGCGGCGGCGGCGGCCGCCGCCGCGTCCTCGGCGGTCCAGGCCGTGGGTGCTGCGGGCCCAGGCGTGGGCGCAGGCGCTGGGCGCTTGACGGGGGGGCCTCGGCCAGAGGGGCGAAGAAGGGGAACGACAGGGGATCACTGGCTCAAGGGAGGTGCCTCCTGGCCCGCTGAGGCGTGGAAGAGCTGCCTGGTAGGGTTTCTGTAGCCTTCCAGGGGACCACCCCCCCCGCTTGCCGCACCCAGTTGCGTGCACCACCCATCTTCCCGAGGCCACAGTCCCTCGCAAAATACGACAGAGCGGCGCTCCTGAGGGCCAGATGCCCTCCGCCCAGCGTGCTGCGCTGGCACGGTGGCGGAATTGTCGCGATGGGCTCGCGCGGGCGGGCGGCCTCAACCCACCCAGGGGGGGGCCTCGAGGAGGGGGGGGTACAAGATGGTACATCGATAGGAGGATGAGGGATGAGGAGGAGGAGAAGGGAGGAGGATGAGGAGGAGGAGGTGGAGGAGGAGGAGGGGGGGGCCTCGAGGAGGGGGGGCTCCGACCCACGAGAACCGGTCAAGATGGCTCATCGACACCCTCCCAAGGGGGAACGATGGGGGGAGACTGGCTCAAGGGGGGAAACTCTGACCTGGCTCCAGGGACAGGTTCAAGCGGGGACTGGCTCAGGGGGGGTCTCGGTCAGAGGGGGAAAGAAGGGGAGCACTCAGCGACAAGGATGGAGGAATAAAAAGATCATCAAGATCATCAACTTTCGGAGTTCCACGCGGATTCCTTGGATCGGCGCCGGACCCCCCGGCGGCGCGGAGGATCATCGACTATGACGGTGAGGACGACGACGACGGCGACAACGCCGACGACGACCGTGGTGCGAGGTTTGAGGATCGAGGGCCGGGGGTCGAACATCGAAGTTCGAGGCTTATGACCTCTTGTTCAGGCCTCTGGGGGGGGGGGGGATTCTCGTCGCCGAGGCTGGATTCCGTAGGGAATTCTGGCCAGATCGCACCCCTGGACAGATCTGGGGTCGACATGTGACCCCCGAACCCCTTCGGCGACGAGGATCCAGACCTCCGACGACGTGATCTCTTCCGTCCTGGCGGCTGCTCCCCGATCTCGGCCGCTGGGGAGGCTGCTTCCCAGGCCCCTGGGCCGTCAAGAAGCGGATCTGGGACAGACGACCGCCCACGAGGACGGGGTTGAGACCTCCTGGGCCTGCGTGTTGCAAAAACGCTCTTCTGTCGGCGGCGACTTGGCTCAAAGCCGCGGTCGGGCCAGCGGGGGACCCCGTCTGCGCGGCGCGCGCGGACGGAGAGGTACATCGTGCAGTGAGGCGACGCAGCCGTGCAGCGTCATGCGGCACGGCAGAAGCTGCGACGGCAGCGACGACGACAGGGGGGATCATGATCAGCCGCCGACCGCAGATTCGCACTCTCCGACCTGCCTGGCTGCAGACGTCTGCGGGGGCAGCGGCGGTCGACAGAGCGCTCGAGATCCCGTGCTCCTCCCCCGCCCCATTCGGCCACCAATCACCTGCCAGGGGTCGAAGAGGAGGACGACGGCGGCCGAGAATCGAGGATCGTGGCTCGAGGCGCTTGGGCGACTTTCGTCCTGCCTGGGCCTCTGGGGCAGCCTCCTGTCGCCACGGCCGGAGTCCCCCTGAGAGTATGGCCAGAGCGCACCTGCTGGACAGGTCTGGAGAACGAGGAGGGAGGGGTGGCGCCAGAGGACGAGGGCAAGAGGAGGGGGAGGGAGCAAGAGGGAGGTCACGGGAGGGCAAGAGGAGGGGGAGGGAGAGAAGGACGAGGGGGAGGAGAAGGAAGAGGAGGAGGGAGGACGAGGAGAAGGGAGGAGGAAGGGGAGGAAGAGGAGGAGGAGAAGGAAGGACAAGGTGGAGGGTCCGCAGATTGCCCATGCCGGTCCAGAGCTCCACCGTGGTGGAAACCTTTTCCTCCTGCTCATCCTCCTCCTGCTCCTCCACCCTATCTTTTCCTTCGCCTGGTCATCGTCCTCCTCCTCCTCTTCCTCTCCTACTCACCCTTTTCCTCCTCATCACCATCATCCTCCAACTCCCCCATTCCCTCCCTCCTCCTCTTCCTCCTCCTCCTCCTTTTCCTCCTCCTCCTCCTCCTCCTCCTCCTCCTCCTCCTCCTCCTCCTCCTCTGTCGCTGAGGTGGGCACGACCTTCCTGGGCCCTTGGAGTTGCAGCTTGCTGGCCCTCGGGATCCCTGTGTGTTGGTCGTGTTCGCCTCGTTTTGCCACTGTGCGTCTCGAGCACCGACTTCGTGAGTTTCTTGCGCTATGTGGAGCTGCTGTGGGCCAGCTCCGTGGCGACGGCGCTCGACGTGCTTTACTTCGGCACCGCCCTCGTCGCGCTGGGCACCCAGAAGGTCGGCCCCCATGTGCTGGCGCTGGGGTCCTTCCCCGCCCTGCGCGCCCCGCTCTTCGGGGACAAGCAGGTGAGCACGGGCCTGGCGCAGGCCTCGTGCTCCCGTCGGCGCCCGCGAGGCGCCGCGCTGCTGGGGGTTTGACGGCTCCCCCCCCCTGCTCGGGCTACCACCCCTTGGGCGGTGGGCTGAGCGGGGGGCAAGGTGAAGCCGTCGAGCCCCTTGGGCCGCTCTCGGCCCTGACCCGCCTGCCTCTCGGCTTCCGCTCGCTCGCTCGCTCGCTCGTTCGCTCCTCCTCCTCCTCCTCCTCCTCCTCCTCCACCTCCTCTTCCCCTTACTATTATTAGTCGTCGTATTGTCATCAGTTTTCGCATTATTATTCGCACTACTACTGTTATTAGCAATGGCATTCTTAGTCTTATGCTTAGTAGTCACAGTATTATATGTGTTAGTGTTATTGTTATTATTATCAAAATTAGAAAACATGATAATATTCGCAGTAATAGTACTGTAAGTATTATGTTGTCTTATTAGTATGGTCCGTCTTATTCTCATGAGTAGAACCAGTATTATTCGTAGCATTAGTATTCTTATTAGTTTTAGCCATAGTATCATCATCATTAGTGTTAGTATTAGTCTCGTTAAAATTATGATAGTTAGTATTACTCCTTACTCGAATCACATGTCTTCGTACAAGTCATACTAGTGTCAATATGATTCGTATTGCTCGTAATTGTATTAGTAGAACTCTTATTAGTGGCGTCAGTCTTGTCAATATTATCATTACTATGATCAGTTGAGTTATTCTCTTATTCGTATGAGTCTCATTCGTATCCTCATAAGTAGTATTGATTATATTGGTCCTCCTCCTCCTCCTCCTCCTCATCATCATCATCATCCTCATCCTCATCCTCATCTTCAGGATCAGTCAGCAGCCCCATCCTCATCATCATCCTCATCCTCATCCTCATCCTCATCATCATCATCATCATCATCATCATCATCATCATCATCATCATCATCATCATCATCATCATCATCATTATCCTCATCCTCATCCTCATCATCGTCATCGTCATCATCATTATCATCATCATCAGCATCATCATCGTCGTTATCCTCATCCTCATCCTCATCCTCATCCTCATCCACTCATCATCATCAGCATCATCATCATCCTCATCCACTCATCATCATCATCATCATCATCATCATCATCATCATCATCATCATCATCATCATCATCATCATCATCATCATCATCATCCCCCTCCTCCTCCCCCTCCTCCTGCGCCCCCTCCTCCTCCTCCTCCTCCTCCTCCTCCTCCTCCTCCTCCTCCTCCTCCTTCACTACTCATCCCTTCTCCCTTCTCCCTTCGACACCTGTGATAAAATCGTCCGCCTGTTGTGCAGCTCTCAGAGTTGCAGCAAGCTCGGCAGCCGCACTCCCTGCGAGCACCCTCCGGGAGCGCGTCGTAGCAGAATGCAATAGAGTCCCCATCCCTCCTCCATCCGCCTACTCCCCTCCCTCACTCCCTCCCCCCTTCTCCTCCCTTCTCCCCTCGCCGGCGCCATCGGCGGCCCGAAGGGGGGCCCCAAGGGGGGCCCTCGACGGCCCTAAGGGGACCTTTCAGCAGCACTCGGCGACCCTCCCCAGACATCCGATGTCGTGTTTGGGTTTTGCACACCCGGAGTGGGGACGGAAAGTACGGGCACGATGCCCAACAGCAGCGCCTCTTTACGTGCCGCAGCAGCTGCTGTCTCCCCGGGACCTTACGACAGCAATTCTTGTCATTGCGACAGCACTACGTGATCATGTGAACAGCAAGTGCTGTTCAATGGACAAGAACTGATGTCAAAGTGACAAGAGTTGTTGTCCGATGGGCTCCGGAGAACAGCAAGTCTTGCTACAGCTGACCAGGCACTGCTGTTGGCCATCGTACCCGCGTGTAGATGTTTCTTTCGCACCCCAGCAGCCCTGGACCCCTTGCCAGGGACCAGGCTCTCATCCCGAATCGTTGCTTGACGGCCCCGGGTCCCGGCGAGGGCCCCCCGAAGCCGAAAGCGGCCCAAAACCTTCGCGGGGCTCGGCGGGGCCCAGGATCGGTGGATGTGCCTCCCTGGCCGAGCACCCGGACGTGCTCGCGTCGCGACAGAAGTCACGACGAAAAAGTTATCTCGACCTCTGGGGGCCCTCGCCAGGCCCTGGGACCGTCCAAAAACAACTCGGGATGGAAACTGGCCCTGGGGAAAAAAAACAAGAGTTCTAGGGACCCCCGCATTGAAAAAAAATCCCCTGGCGAAGGACCCAACCATGCGCAGTTGTGAGTACCTCGTTGTGGCTACCGCTTTCGGTGGACCTCCCTATGGGGCACCGAACCGTGTGAGGGGTGTGCCAAAATGGGGGCGTCGGGCGCATGCGGCCTGTGCCACTGGGGCCTTCGGTGGAGCTCCCCATGGGGCCACGAACCGTGTTAGGGGTGTGCCAAAAATGGGCGTCGGGCGCATGCGGCCTGTGCCACTGGGGCATTCGGTGGAACTCCCTATGGGGCCACGAACCGTGTGAGGGGTGTGCCAAGATGGGAGCGTCGGGCGCATGCGGCCTGTCCCACTGAGGCTTTCGGTGGAACTCCCTATGGGGCACCGAACCGTGTGAAGGGTGTGCCAAAATGAAGAAATCGGGCGCATGCGGCCTGTGCCACTGGGGCCTTAAGTGGAGCGTCCTATAGGGCCACGAACCGTGTGAGATGTGTGCCAAAATGGGCGTCGGGCGCATGCGGCCTGTGCCACTGGGGCCTTCGGTGGAACTCCCTATGGGGCCATGAACCGTGCGAGGGGCGTGCCAAAATGAGCGTAGAGCGCATGCGGCCTGCGCCACTGGGGCCTTCAGTGGAACTCCCTATGGGGCCACGAACCGTGTGAGAGGTGTGCCAAAATGGGGGCGTCGGGCGCATGCGGCCTGTGCCACTGGGGCCTTCGGTGGAGCTCCCTATGGGGCCAAGGACCGTGTGAAAGGTGTGCCAAGATGGGCGTCGGGCGCATGCTGCCTATGCCACTGGAGCCTTCGGTGGAACTCCCTATGGTGCCACAAACCGTGTGAGGGGTGTGCCAAGATGGGAGCGTCGGGCGCATGCGGCCTGTGCCACTGGGGCATTCGATGGAGCTCCCTATGGGGCAACGAACCGTGTGAGAGGTGTGCTAAAATGGGGGCGTCGGGCGCATGCGGCCTGTGCCACTGGGGCCATCGGTGGAGCTCCCTATGGGGCCACAAACCGTGTGAGGGGTGTGCCAAGATGGGCGTCAGGCGCATGCTGTCTATGCCACTGGAGCCTTCGGAGGAACTCCCTATGGGGCCACGAACCGTGTGAGGGGTGTGCCAAGATGGGAGCGTCGGACGCATGCGGCCTGTGCCACTGGGGCAGTCGGTGGAACTCCATATGGGGCCACGAACCGTGTGAAGGGTGTGCCAAAATGGAGGCGTCGGGCGCATGCGGCCTGTGCTATTAGACCCTCCAGTGGATCTCCCTATGGGGCCACGAACTGTGTGAGAGGTGTGCCAAAATGGGCGTCGGGCGCATGCGGCCTGTGCCACTGGGGCCTTCGAAGGATCTCCCTATGGGGCAACGAACCGTGTGAGGGGTGTGCCAAGATGGGGGCGTCGGGCGCATGCGGCTTGTGCCACTGGGGTATTCGGTGGAACTCCCAGTGGGGCCACGAAACGTGTGAAGTGTGTGCCAACATGGGCGTCGGGCGCGTGCGGCCTGTGCCACTGGAGCCTTCGGTGGGGCCACGGATCGCGTGAGAGGGGTGCCAAAATGGTGGCATGCGGAAAGCAGAGGCAGGGATGGGAGGAGGGAAGAGGAGGAGGGGGAGGAGGAAGGAGGAGGAGACGCGGGGCACTGTCCCTTCAAAACGAGGGCCCTGGGCCAGGAGGGCCTAGACACCAGTATCTCGTCGCCCGATCGTTGGAGGTGGCCGACGCATCGGATCCTGGACCAGGAGGGCGTAGACAGCAATCCCGTCGCCCGATCGATAAAGGAGGCCGAGAAATCGGAACCCCTGGGCCACGATCCTGACATCCGACGGCGCGAAACAATGAGATGGTGATGGTGATGATGATGGTGATGGTGATGGTGACGATGACGATGACGATGATGATGATGCTGATGATGATGATGATGATGATGATGATGATGATGATGATGATGATCACGATGCTCATGCTGGTGATGGTGATGGTGATGGTGATTGTGATGAAGATGCTGATGCTGATGCTGATGATGATGATGACGACGATGATGATGATAATGGTGGTAGTGGTGGTGGTGGTGATGATGATGATGGTGATGATGACGATGATGGTGATGATGGTGGTGATGACGATGTTGATGTTGCTGCTGCTGATGATGGCGGTGATGATTATGATGGTGATGATGGTTGGCGATGTTGATTGTGGCGCTGATGATGGTGGCGATGATGATGGTGGCGATGATGATGGTGACGACGACGATGATGATAATGGAGATGATGATGATGACGAGGATAATAATGCTGATGATAATGAGCATGATGAAGCTTAAAATAATGATGATGATGATGATGATGATGATGATGATGATGAAGTTGATGATGGTGATGATGATGACGATGATGATGATGTTGCTGATGCTGATGCCGCTGCTGATGCTGATGATGGTGATGGTGATTGTGATGAAGGTGCTGATGCTGATGCCGATGATGATGACGACGATGCGGATGATAATGGTGGTAGTGGTGGTGATGATGATGAGTATCATGGTGATGATGATGATGACGATGATGATGATGGTGATGATGGTGAGCATCCTGGTGATGATGATAATGATGATAATGATGATGATGATGGTATGATGATGGCGATTTAGAAAAAGACAGAAGAAGAAGAAGCAGAAGAAGCACCCTCCAAGCCGGGTCAACAGCAAGCATGCGTGCAACCACTCACAAGAACCTGTCCTCGTGTCTAGGCTCTTCGTCTGGTTTCCCGTCTGGGGACGTCAATATGTGAGAATACGTGACGGAATGATAGGTCCAAAATGGTTTTTGTCCTTGGTAGCTTCCAGGTAGCTGCCTGCAGCACAACCGCTCCCGTCAGAGACCGGAGCCCTGGACCTCACCCTTCTGATGCCTTCTTCGAGCCGCGGGGCCCCAAACCTGACGAATACACGCCCAGCTCGGAGAAATTGAGACGCCAGGACTCCCCGGGGAGGGCACAGAGACCCCGATCTCTCGTCGCCCGATCGTTGGGGCTGGCCGGCGCGGCGGGCGCGGGGCCGGTGTCCCAGAAGAGCCCGGCGAGCAGCCGGAAGGCCTCCGCGCTGCGGGCGGCGAGGCCTGGCGGCGGGCGCCGCCAGGCAGGGGGGGAGTCCTCGAGCCTCGAGATCCTCGAGAGCCTCGATTCTCAAACCTCGACCCCCTCGATCGTGGAAGTTCTCGAGATTCTCGAAATCCTCGAGCCGAGGTCCTCGAGGTTCTCAGTTCTGAAACCTCAACCCCCTCTATCCTCGAGATCCTCGAGATCCTCGATCCGAGAGATCCTCGAGATCCCCTCGAGAGCCTAGATTTTCGATCCTCGAGATCCTCGAGATCCTCGGTCCCCGAGATCCTGGATCCTCAAGATCCTCGATCCTCGAACCCCTCGGACCTGGCGGCGAGCGCCGCCAAGCAGTGGGGGGAGTACGCGAGCCTCGACAGACAGGAGCGTGTTTGGGTGGGGATTGTTGCAGGTTTACGGTTCATTTGCACATCGTCTCCCTCCCTCCGTCTCGTTTGCAAGAAGCGCCGGCCGACAAGGCGTGCAAGTGCGCCTCGACCTGCGCGAAGTCCAGACTTCCTCTCGGGCCTCGCCACGCCCTCCCCCCCCCTCCGTGCAAGTAAACTTGCCAGAGTCTGAGATAAAACTGCGGCAGCCTCGAGCCTCGAGCCCCGAGCCCCTCGGACCAGCAGGGGGCGGGATGCGGCGGCCCTGCCCGGCGTTGCTCGCAGTTTTTGATGCCTCCCGGGCGGGTCAATTTGGAATCCCGAAACGGTGCGGTGACAGACCGTGCGGTGACCTCGAAATCCCCCAGGACCTCACCGCACGGTTTTGGGACCTCGGATGCCCCCGTCGCCCGAGACGTCCTCGGAGAACGACCCGAGTCCCAAAACCGTGCGGTGATCCCGAATCCCCGCCGACTCACCGCACGGTGTGGGCACCACCCCGTTTGGGGGCCCCCGAGTCAAGATGGACCTGAGGGGACGTCCGGGAGAGGTCCCGGGAACGATTTCGAGCGGATTTCGACCGAGCGGGAGCAGGGCATCGAATCGGGAAGTCTGGTCGAAGCGGAATGCGCGGCGGATCGGGGGGAACGATCTCGAGCGGATTTCGACCGAGCGGGAGAAAGGCACCGAATCGGAAAAGTCGGATCGAGTCGGAATGCGCGACGGATCGGGCTGCATCGACGCCCAAGGGGGGGCGCGCTGGCATCCTCGCGTCTTGAAAAAATCACCTCGGGTGATGTTTGACAATTTTCGGTATCTGGGGGACCCTCACTGGGCCCCAGGACCCTCAGAAAGCGGCTCGGGATGAGAAGCTGGTCCGGGGAAGGGGTCCAGTCCTCCAGGGAGCTACGTTGCGAAAGAAAACGACACCAAGCAGGAGGCAGGATCAGTCAGCATCGAATCCGGTACTCGGGTCAAATCGGAGTGTGCGTCGCACCGGGATGCACCGACCGCCCTCGCGTCGTAAATTTGTTGGTTGCTTTCTGCCTCTGGGGGCCTTTCCCGGTCCCCACAAGGCCGTCAGAAAATGGCTCGGGACGAGAGGACCGTCCCCAGATGGGGTCCAGGCCTCAAAGGGGGCGCGCAATGAGAAAATTACGACGCCAGGGGGCGGGATCAGTCATCGGCGGTTCCGAAGGGTGTGGTTTGCAAAGGGTGTGGTTTGCAACCGGCACCCCGAGGGGCACCCTGGGGGGCGGG